TGATGCACTGAATTGTAGGCATCATAAGGTGCCCAACTTATGAGGAAAGACCCAACACAATAGCTGGAGGATGGGTAGACACCAGAGCAGTCATACACCCTGGCTGACCTGTTGCCAGGCCCGAGCGGTTTCACATGAGCTGTTTGGGGATGGACAGAGTAGAAACATTTTAAAGAAATACGGACATTCAGAAAATTAGTATTTGCAGAGGAGTTTCAGGAAGTGCCATTGGTGCTGCCAGGATGCTTGATCTGATTTGGCCCCTTTATGGTGCTGTGAAACCTTTTATTACCAAAGTGGTGAAAATGGTTATGGCATTTCTTCTCTCCCTAGTTTTTATACAGCATATTGGGTAATATTATTCATTCTTCCCTGCAGTTATTCCACTACCATCTCTGTATGGTCATGACTGATGGATTCGTCAATTTTCTGCCCCTCCGTTAAAACCCCAATAAACACACGGACTGCGCGACATGGATTTTACCGGCCACAGCAGCCCTTTTATTAAACAAACAACTTTAACAATAACCAAAGTAATAAACCAAATAATATACAAAAATAATACTTTAAACAATGGTTGACCTGATATAAAAAATATGAGATGAAACTGTTTTCCTTTGTATAATGTAACACTGTTGCTACTATTCTGCGCAATGCTATAGCACCTAGCACACTGTTTTCAAATGTTTCACCCAAACCAAGAACACTATATTTAGGAAAGTTTATGAGTACACCTTTATTGGCAGAATAATGATCTCATGAAAAGATCTAGGTGTTACTCTGCCGACTTTACATTCAGCCTTCTGCAAAAAACCTTTCTTCCGATTTACATACTTACATACTTTTTACAGTTGAGAAATATTTGGTCACTTATATGATTTGAAATCAGGGCTCAGCAACACAAAGCTGATCCCTGCCTTGTGGAGGGAGCTCCGGTATCATTGTGGAAGGATGTGGTAAACGGCTGCTGCCATTAAACATTGTAATGTGTGTTTGGTTATCCTCAAGACATGGAAAATAACCCCTCAAAAATACATGCAGTGAACTCTGTGATTTGAATCCCTCCATTTTATTGGTATATCAAGGCCTTACCCATCACAGTCTCACACCTCCAATTGTTCAAGGATCCCAGAACATATCTCTCCATTGGAAGATTTCTCCTCCGCTCCTGTTCAAGGATCCCACACACAGACACCTGGGTCCAAGCAGAACATTTGGGTCCAATGTTGTTAGCAGTTACAACACATTTATTGTTCCCTGCTATCGACACACAATGACTTCTGTGCAAGGTGACTGCTTGTAAGTGTGTTTTGTGACTCCTGTACCCACAATAACAGATGTAATGTGCCTGAGTTGGTCATCTTGCATCTACCAGAGTTACCAGAAAAGCAGTGGTGTTTAGAACCAACTTTTTGCTCCAGAGAACTGCTCAGTTCCCAACATCCCTGTTTTTCTAGAGTAGGAAAACTCATTGCAGAATACACTGTGTTCTTTAATTTGCCCACCAGGCCTCTGCTGAATCGGCACACAATTTACTGCTCTGGTGGGTTTCAGTGGTGTTTACAGATGTAGACTGGTTTGGTGTATATGCCGAGGTTGTTTAGTTTTCCCAGTCCGCCACTGGATGAGATTATTCCAATACAGTGGCTAAGTGATTAGCACTGTTCATTGACATGCTGGGCTCCTTAGTAATCAATATCTTGTTGGCACACCTTTCTTGTGTAGTTTTTATGTTGGTGCAACTTTCCTTCCACAACCTAAATACACACTCTAATGTAGAGACTAATGCAAATGGTTAAATGTTCTCTGTACAGCATTTCAGAATATGTCAGAGCTATATAAATGTATATTAGTAAAAATGTGCAACTGTGGTGGGGACATCAGAGTGTAAGCTCATCTGGTCTAGATGTGACTGATACAATGCTCTCCGCACAGCACTGGAGAGGATGTTAGAGGTACATAAATAGTTACATAGTCAGGCTGAAAAAAAGACACAAGCCTATCAAGTTCAACTAGCTGAGTAAATCAAAAACTTGCTTACACAGAACCCTAATGCCACGGATGACCAGACTCAGTCAATGTAGAATAATACTGTGTGATGGTGATGATGACATTAGAGCGTAAGCTGCTCTGGTGCAGAGACTGATGTGAATGGCTCTGTGTACTCTGAACAGCACTGCAGAATATGTCACAACTTTATAAACGTATAATAGTGTGTAGCTGGTGAGACACTAGACTGTCAGCTCCTCTGGTACAGAGACTGATGTGAGTGGCTAAGTGTTCTCTGTACAGCACTGCAGAATATGTCTGAGATATACAGTATAATTGTATAATAATAGTGTGTGACTAAGGTTGGGACATTAGAGTGTAAGCTCCTCTGTTGCAGAGACTGATGTGAATGGTATGATGTACTCTGTACAGCACTGCGGAATCTGACAGAGCTATATAGATATAGCCTGGACACTGGTCTTGTTAGTATCTGTCCTTCCTAATGGCAAGAGAAGTGGTGGCCGATGGTTTGTTTCTAGCAGCGTGTGAGATCATATATGAATGTGTAATGTAGTGGAAATAGGATAGAGATTGATGCAGCCCCGCTGCTCATGTCCTATTACCTCTGCGGCTCTGTTCAATGTGTGCAATAAAAAGCAGCATCCTTCCTGCATCTGAAAGTCACTCTGTAAGATGTTTTCTGTGTTGTTCTCGGCACAGCTCCCCTCCACCCTGAAAAATCCCGGATCACAGCTCAGGTAGCAATTTATCTGCCTCTCCGTCCCTCCACTCATCATCGGCGCTTCTGTACTGCGGCGAGGCGGAGGTGTGTGTCCGGCTGTGACACTGATTGTTAGACGGTGCAGTGTGCAATTGTGCATTACAGGGGAGCTTGTACTGCACCGCCTGTGCCTGGCAGAATAATCTGCTCAACTTCTCGGGGTTCCAGCTTATGTCTGTGTTTAGAATTAAACAAGCTGTTCTCTGACGGTACATGAACACAGGGCATCCATCGCTGGCACAATTTATCTCAAGTGTTTACATCGATCAGACCCTGTCGTTACCCCGGTAAAGCGAGCAAAAGCGGAGTATGTTAAGCCACCCTCTTCTGCAGCCAGCTCACGCAAATTCTGAGCATCTTTTCATTAACTGAGTGCTACTTTTATATATTGCATTGAACACTCTCCAGACAGTTTTTATTGCAGGCTATTTACAGCTAACACAAGCAAGCTGTCAATCATCTGGTGTAGTTACAGAGCACTGACACCTCCATCTGTGGTACTCTGGAAGAACTCTTCCAAGCTAAGCCATTGCAAGTGACAATGTGCATGTGTGGGGTGCCCGTATCCCAAAGCAACCAGCCAACAGTTATCTTTGATCCAACTGAACTAAATGGTGCTGAAATCTTGTTGCTCTGGGTGATTGCACTTTAAAAATCCTCGAAGCAATGAGGCAGTGAGCATTTTTGTTTAGCAGCATGTTACCCATAAATGCTACATAAAGTATCTGCCAACTGTGCCCCCCCAGACTTAGAGATGTGATCCGCCAGATAATGTATCCGGAAATCCAGATCTAATTTGGTTTCCTGGCTTCTCCGCACACTTTCTATTCATAATCTCATTAGAAAAGTGCAAATCCTCCCTACTTGACTCCTATTTGGCTAATCAAACACATCTGTGCAGTCGGTGGTCATGCTCGAAAGCAAAAGATAAAGTTCACGTGTAACCAGCCAGCTAATTGCCCCCCTAGATCTCACCAGCACACGCACAGAAAGGACATTTTAAATGTCACTGTCACTCAATGGCATATAGAAAGATGTTGAATGGCAGCAGCTGTGGGAGTAAAACTGGACACACACATATATGCAATATATGACACCTCCAGGATTTTTATCCCGGGTGCTGTGGTGGTGTGCCATGATCCCATTCAACCTGGAAGATGCATCATATCTTGAGGAGGCAATCAAGAAGCATGCACAAGATCTAAAGACACTTCCCCACTTTTATCCGTAGTATGCAAGCCACACACATGCTGAGATCTGTATACAATAGTCTTTCAGATCATTTCATGAGATATGGCTATACATAGTGAGATTTTCCTGAAATACCACCAGACTTTACTGTTGATTGTATTGAAAGATTGCGATGGTACCACATACTAGACCACTTGGCTCTACCATTTTAACAGGCACTCAACAATTAAGCTGGATGCAATTTTAAGACTGACACACACTTTGAGATCCAATCATAAGATGGCAAAAAGATTCAACCCTATGTCCTGTCACATCACACACAAGCTACAGCTATCTTTCAAAAGATGGCAAGTGGAACACAAAGCTGCCAACATTTCCAAACATATTCCAGGGACATTCTGCTGCTAAGCTGGTCTGCAGGCTCAGTATAGCACCAATGGGCCTTCAGAATATCGATATACCCAAATTGGAGAATTTTAGAAAAATTGATTTTGGTAATTTGATTTTTTTTTTGCTGGTAAATGCTTGACCGCAAACAAACACTTACAATGCCCGAAGAACACTAGAACAATGTCTACAACTGATGGAAATGTGTATACTGAGGCACTTCTAAGGCACAGCTGGTCTCAAACACCAGGGACAACATTTTGCAAGAATAAGTTTTCTGGAACAGGTATTGTCCCAGGAAATTGGGGATCATTATCATCTATAGTAAAGAAAGGGACTCTACCCATGTCTGCCACAACTTACATATAGTAAATGGTCTTTGCTAGCCTCATCCTTTACTACAGCTGTCCAGCACAGCCAGCGGTGGCCTCCCATGCCCTTTGAACTGCCAAGAAAAAGGGGTGTCAACAACACCACAACATACCCCGATTAAAATTCCAGATTTGCCCCAGAGGTTCTAGAAGGTGAGATTGTAATCGCAGCAGCAATGTGCACACTTGGACAGAAGAGCCGGCCGGATGGAAAGCAGAGAGCAACATATCGCTGTGCTGCGATCCATCAGAGGAAAATGAAAGGTTTGGCAATGACCTACTTGGGTGAGTTCGGTGCCCATCAAGATGAGGAGGATCAGGCTCATAAGCTTGCTTGTGGGTTGCATCTCCAGGTGCCAGGTTCAGCCGTGACAGCAATTCCTCCTTCTCACGCTCTCTTCTCTCTTTGCCTTCTCCTCAGTGTGCTTTTGTTCCACAGCCGCCTGTCTCTTCCGTCCTTCCGCTGCGTCTCAGCTGCCCTAGGAGACAAGGCGAGGAGTCTGCTGTGGAAAGTGTCCACTTTGCATATTTGTTCTCTATCCCGATCCGCTGCTATCTCCTTGTGCCTCTGTGTGTGTGTGTCCTATTTAATGGCTTCCCTGATTGAAAGGCATTTGTGAGGAGGAACTCAACGGAGCACAAAACAATGGTGTCGCTTTTGCCAAAAGTTTGCCGTGAAAGGAAGGGCAGCGGTTGAGGGAGGAAGGTAAAAAAAAAAATTAGAGAAGCGGTGGTTAGCAGTGATGCAGCTAGTGAAAAGGTACCACAATTTTCCCTCAGAGGGCTGGTTTTTCTGCCAGCAGAACACAGCCTGTAAGCCTCAGCCTGATTGGCTATTGTGCAGCGTTCGCAGATTGGCCTTTTAGTATTTGCCTGCCCGCTGGACCTGTCAGTGTGTCTGCGCAGCCTCGCCTGTGATTGGAGGTTGTGCAATGCCTCTGCCTCTTGTCTTTTGTTCCTTTATCCTCCAGCAAGAAGACACAGATTGCAGGAGTGAATAGCTGGGATCACATAAGTCCGTCCTGCACATTAGTCTGTCATTACAAATGTAATCGCTGACAGCTGGCAGTGTGCAGCCTTCAATTACACAATGTACACCATGGATTAAAAGGTCACTCCACCCAGTGCTGATATTTTGGTTACAGGTAGAGGGCTGGGAGACTAAAGTACCTAACGTATTTTGCAGACAGTTGTGGTCAGGTCTCCCCGGTTCAGCTTTTCTCTCTTCCTTCCAGCAATGAAGCAGCAAGCGGAATCTCAGTCCTCCTGTAATCTCCTTAATGTAGTATTAAAGGTATGCCCCTGCCAACTGAAAATTAAGCCTTGAGATCTGTGCAATCAATGGTGACTGGTTTCTTTAACCACTTGCTGACCAGGGTGTTTATTCCCCCCTTCCTGTCCAGGACATTTTTTAGTGTTCAGCGCTGCGGTACTTTGATGTTTATACTGTCATGCAACACTGTACTGAAATTAATTTTATATCATTTTTTGGGGACAGATAGAACTTTCTTTTGAAGGTATATAATCACCACTGGGGTTTTTATTTTTTCACTAAATAATGAAAAAAGTTTTAGCCTATGTTCAACATAAGCTCACACAAGTGGACAGCATATTCTTTCGATAAGAATTTCGATATCTGCTTTTTTTTTTTTTATGTTTGCCTATTGTATGTGAAATATATGTGCAAAATCAATAAAAACTATCTGATTAAAAAAAAAAATAATGAAAAAAGTACAGAAAATTTGGAAAAAAAAACTGTTTTCCCTACGTTATGTTATAAACCATTTAATATTACCCAATTTTTTGGTAAAAGTATAAAAGACGGGGTCATGTCAGGTAAATAGACACCAAACATGTCAAGCTTTAAAATTTGCGTGCGCCCGTGAACTTGCAAAAAACTACCATACCCAAAATTGGCCATAAGCGACGCTTTAAAAGCTTTTACCGCTCATCAGTTTAGCGTTATCAGTGATTAATGGCCCTAAAATTATTGCTCTCACTGCAACGTTGTGACGTGCGGCGCAATGGATGCAATTGTCGTTTTCACGCGTAGGTGCACCCGACGCATGCTTGTATGTGGGGGGAAGGGGACTTTTTTTTTTTGTAACTTTCATTTTTTTAAACTTTTTTTTTTTTTTACTTAACTTTATTGCTATCACACAGGGGACTAACAAGCCCACTATGTGATAGCCAATTTGCAGTGACAGGTCCTTTTTATGGAGACATCAGGGTTCTTTAAGACCCCTAATGTCACCTAGGGACCCCCAGAGAAGCTGATGAAGCAGATCGCCAGCAGCGGCTGCAACGGAGGGGGGCGCACACCTGCACACATATTACAAGTGATCGGGCGTTTCTACAGACGCCCGCACGCTTGTATGCAAACAGCCATCGCTGGCTGTTTACATTCCAAGCTTATTTCCCGCTTGTGCATGCCGCCTAGCGGTTGGGTGGGATGGGACGTCTAAAAACACCCACCCGCATCCAAGAAGCAGGTGGTTAATATGGCACAAAGCAATGGGCAGAGTGCAGTAACCTATAGCAAATTTCCGGAACACAGTATGTGAAGGGCTTACAGCTCAAGTCCAAGAAAGCTGATCTCTATGCACATATAAAAGACAAATGAATGCAGCTCTGCAATCATGAATACATCCTAAATATACATTTTTAAGAATGCAAGCAGTATACACACCTGAATTTGTCTTGGCATTAGCTCAGAGAGAGACAAGCAGCACAAGAAACCATTTAAGTTTGTTGAAGTGTAAAGAGCGTGCTCCTAGGAGAAGAGAGCAGAGTGACAGAGATTAGCAAATCAGTGTGCTGCTTCTCCCATCACTG